CTCTCAAAAACTAAACTAAACTTGATAATCTATTTTTTCAGTAGTTCATTGGTCAAACCTGTTGTATATTGACAATGTTCAATCTACAAATCATGTTATAGGGTCGGCAATCAATTATAACTATCCTTATATCAAAAGCTAAACGTTACGACTCTACAACATAGTTTTACTTATAAACCTGACTGTAATTTAGTATTCTCAATTATTAATAAATTACCATAACCAAAGTATGGCTATATGAAATGTAATATAAATCAGTCTTTTTTTAAAAAAAAAAACTCGCTTTAGAAAATCAGTCTATTCAAATTAAGTCAATACGGATTACTAACAACAATGATGACCTTGATTCGTAAATTTTTAACCTTGTTTACAATTTTAAGAATTTCATTACTGTTTACTTATTATTCTATGTTCAATGATTTCTTTTGACCAAATATGTTTTGAATTATATTGTTAAAGTTGGCCTTCAATTCATTGATGATTTGAACAACTACACATTCATGCTTAGTTTTAATTGATTGTATTTGATTTATAGTTCACTACAATATATCTCATATAAGAAGTCGAACAAGTTTAATAGGTTTCTTAATAGTTTCAGTGATAATATCTTGTAAGAGTATCATTAAAAGAATACAATAAGTAATTGAAATACATCTGTATAGTTCAAATGATATAAACTGACAAATTCTCTTTAGTAGATGGTCTTTAGAATTTCTTAAAAGAAAAATCTGGATGAAATAACATGATTTTTTTTTTCATTGAAGTACTGGAGAATGAGATTTATTTAATTTTGATCATTAAAGTTAAAATTTGTTAAAATGTAGTTTGACAGCCTTATTTATTACTTCTTATATATTTCAAGAAATAATGTGTAGTCAGAGATAGTAAACATTAATTCAATGGACCAGATTTCTCACCAGTTAACACTTATTATTAAGATGTATCTGAAATCCTAAGATAAATGGTACTCCTCTGGAGATTTAAACCAGCATCAGTACAAGCTATCGTAGTAATGACGAGTAAATACTGTGATTCTCAAATCTTAATTTAATAAGTTCAGCAAAATGTTTTCTGTCTTTAGTAATTTAGTTTGATGAAAATATCTCAATGGCTCATTTTCGTGGATTAGTTGAAGTTAGACATTAACAGCGTTGGATGCCGTCCAGCTCAGTGGTCTAGAGGTCAAGTGTTCTCGAGCGAGACTGATAAGACTTGAGTTCGAATCTCGCAGAGCAGGATCTTGTATGCGCACGTCTGAGTAGTCGCACACTAGAATGAAACGGCTATCCAATTCTTCTAGGTTTTCCATGATGATCTAACTTCAATTAACTCATGAATTCAACTAGCAAATATCTCTATTTATTTATAATATTATTAAATCAACAAACGTTTGTTGAATATTTAAAATGTAGAATTTCTAAATAATTTATTCATATGTTTACCTTGATACTTATTATATTGTAATCAGTGTACACTATAAGGCAAAGCAATAATATAAAAATAAATTTGACCTTAAATACAAGAATAGATTAATTAATAATTCAAAAGAACTTTTATGATAATAATTTAACTAGACGTAAATAAAAATGCACAGTTTTATAAGACTTCTTCATATAATCAGTTTTGATTTTTATCCTATTGTATAATAGAGTTTGAGGATTATTGATTTCAATAGTTGAAATCATGAGTCAATTAAAACTAGACCACCATGGAAAACCTGGAAGCACTGGACGTCCGTTTCGTTCTAGCATGGGACTCCTCAACAGTGCGCATCCACGATCCCGATTCGAACCCAGGACCTTTCGGTCCTAGTGGTGGTAATGTCTAACTTCAACCAATTCACGTAATTGCGCCACCGTACATCATTATCCTCAGTGAGCTTATATCTCACAACAGATCCGGTTGAACTTCACTGGTCACAGCTTCACCCTAGAACTCCAGGAAATGCCTTTTGAAGTCAGTCACTAGTGAGCAGATGATTTTTGTCAGAAGAAGCTTTGTGGAGTTTTTTTAGTAGTTTCAATAATTGACCTTCATGAGTCAATTGAAGCTAGACCACCATAGAGTTGAAGTTAGACATTAACATCATTGGATGATCAGTCTGTTATTGGTAAATTCACCCCATTGCACAAGCAGATGGCTATCAGGACTCGGTAGCTGAGTGGATAACGCGATGGCGTTTGAAGCGAATGGTACTGCGTTCGAGTCCCATACTGAACATCACCCCTCTGAGATGCAGGTACATCCAGCTGACGAGTCCCAACTAGAACGAAGCTTGTGAATTAAGGCAATATCGAGGCATACACACAGTATGCACATATGCCAATAACAGACTGACCAATTGTAGTCTTAAACCTCAATGGGAAGATACAAGCAAAAGAGTACCAAGTGAATTCATATTCTACATATACTTAATTTATTATCATTACTTCAACTTCTTTGATATAGTTGTTGCTAATTTCATCCCAGTGTTTCAATGTTCTATGATAAATTATTACTGATGTATAAAAGTATCACATTTTATTTTATTATGAATAATCAACTATTTGATCTATTACATTTGTATTTAATTGGTTTTTGTTCATAATGTGATCAAGTTTTACTATCCTTTTCCCAATTTTATCCTGTAAAATATTTCGAATTTCAAAGAGATTTTTTTAGTATCGTCATAGAGATCTCAGATAATTTGTGTTAGTTTTTGAAGCATTATTGTAATGTCAGATAAGGAGCTAAATGATTTTCATTTTAATATTGATATAATAAACTATTTGGTTAAATTTACATTTAATAGTTATTGTTAGGTTTCTGCCTCAAACAGCTTAATAAATAACTCAAATGATTCATTCCTGTACGTTTATACTTTTAATGTACAGTAGTTGTGATGTTAAGAAGTTTTCATAATGTTTTTTGACGGTCAACAGAATCAAAACATATATGGAAATATCATACAATTCATTTGATAATTTAAGAATTATAACCGGACTTCACATCAACGTCAATTGATCTTCTATCTGATTAAGTTGCACTTATTTTGTCCTATTAAACAGTGTACTTACTTAATCCATTACTCAAAGAGTACTGTAGTTAAAACGTACTTTAAAAAAAAGCTGAACAAAAATAAGTCACTGAAGGTCTAATCTTCTTTCACCTTATTATTCATTGATCGGAATTCATCACAAATGAAATTCTATGTATTCTACATTAGCGTGTAATTTAGTTAAATTTCGTATGTTGATATTAAAATGTGTTGATAACAGATAAAGTATATCGTAGATCAAATAAAAGTCTGTCAATTTGACCTTTCTAAATATTCTATATGAATACAAAATTATATTTGCTTGAAGAAAGGTATGGTGGTTAGAATGCTGGTAGTGACCTATGAATATATTTACAGAATACTTCGTTTTTCAAGTGCGTTATATATATATTCGTTGTTATGATATAATATTTTATAAACACAATTGATAATGCTACAGCTTTGAATCGATTTCAGAATACTTTTAAAAGAAATATTACAAACTAAATTTATTAATGAAATATCAGTTAAACTCGGCTGTTTATGTGAAGATAGATAGTGGCTAGCAGTGGAATCCAGAAAGCGTATTTCATCCTACTTGGGACTTGTCAGTTGGATGAACCTGGAAATCAGAGTTGATGTTCACTCTGGGACTCAAACTTAAATGCCACCGCGTTATCCACTTAGCTATTGAGTCCACTGCTAGCCACTATCCATCTTTGCGTAAAATGCTTGTGAGTTAAGGTAATATTGAGGCAATACGCACAGTATGCCAATAAGAGAGTGATCGATTGCAGTTCTAAACATCAATGGGGAAGATTCAAACAAACAATACCAAGTGAATTTAGACTGTTTATGGTTATAAAATAATGAAGGAATTTGCTTTTTTTGTATTCTCTACCAGAAATATAAATATAGGTAAATCGTTTGTAAAAATCTATCCTTCATCCTGACTTATGTTATCTTCTATGCATTCCGGTATGTTTAGAATCAAACCAGTCTAGTGATCTTTAAAAAGATTCTTATTTGTTATTATTATATAATCGTGAATACTTTCATGGAAGCGCTGGCAGAATTCTATTGCTAAAGATACTAAAACTTTAATTGGGTAATTTCTTGATTATAGTATAGGTGTTTTATGGAGATTGTAACATTTTCACATTTCAACTCACTAGCTGATTTTAGCGTTAGGTTGCGAAACGGGAGGCTCTGGACACGCACTGCTAGGGAGCTCCACACTGGGACGAGACGGTCGTCCAGTGCCTGCACGTTTTCGATAGTGGTCTAACTTAGATCTGTTTTTGATTTGAATTGTGAAAATTTCTTGGTACTGAGCATAGCTTTTAGCACATGTTAATATCATTTGAAGAATCGTTGAGAAACAGGTGGGATTTGGAAACTTTTCAACGATACAAGTTCACAACTTCCAATGAACTTCAACTGAAGGCATTTAGTTCTTAGTAAATTTCGCAAAGTCTTTATCGAAAGCTGTGACTTACGGGGTCAGTTCACAGAGAAGCATGATATTTATCCTGCGGTTTCACTTGATTACAAGAGGTACGTTATTTTATCTACTGACCGAAGTTAACGAATGTGTACCACTGAATACTAACGCATGTCCCACAAAGTATCGTAAAAGTCTTTGTTTCAATATCATGTGTGGTCAGTGATGCAGGCCGTTGAAGTAGAGAGTCTACCTAATACTTTCTGCTTCCTAATAGTTCTACAGTTAATATCAACGGATGATAAAATCAATCATCTGCTTTATATCTCAATCATTTGACTGTAAATATGGTGGATTCTGATATGTCGACTCATTCAGGCTGATATCTAAATTAGATTGGCTGATATAAGGAATTTTTGAATTGTATGAATATTGATTCTTTCTGTTATAACTTGATGATTTATTCTTAGGAATTTGTTTTATCTTAACTTTTCAGATTATCCCATGAATTTATATCAATAAAATTAAAACATTCTAATTATGAAAGATCCAAATTATAAAGATACTAAAGTTTCATTGTCAAAATCCAAGGAATTCTTCATACATTATCAGTTGTTGATGTGGAAAAATTTCTTACTTCGTAAACGACGCCCTGGATTTCTCTTAGCTGAAATCTTAGTCCCTTTGATGATCCCAATTATTTTAGTTGGAATGCGAACTGAATCACCACCAGTAAATGAGAACACATGCCATGTTCGTTCAGTAAATCTTCCAACAATGGGTTTATTCAGTTATCTACAGTCCATTGTTTGTAATTTCCTTTATCGTTGTCATTCTATAGATCCTGATAGCACTTCTCAACAGTATAATTACACTGTGTTTGGTAATTTACTTGAGAATATTTCTAGTATTGTTGGAGATTTGTTGACTGAAAATATGTAAGTATTATTTAATTAATATATATTTCATTTATCATCATTTATTACCATATAAAAATTGATGTGTTCACAGTTATAAAACCTTCGGATAGTGTAATGAAATGATTACTGTCATTTAAAAATCGAGCGCATTTATACAGTTTATTTAAGGAAATTTGATAAACCACTTACTTATCTAGTCCAAAAATTAATGTATTGATGAAAGCAAAATAAATCAAAAAGGGATAGAGTATAGTAGCGAATGAAGTATCAGTTCGCTCGTTCCTTCGTATGCTGACGAAATGAAGAACTATTAGATTCACGTTCAGAATGAGGATAACTTATTTTTGAACCCTTGGAATACACTCAAGAAGTCTGTTAACTTAGATTTCTTCTAAAACAATCAATTGCCTGTTATACAAAATAAACGTGTTCGGTTTATACGCAATAAGAAATGTCACTGCAAATAAATGACCCAAAGTATTCTGACTAATGTCTACTTTCAAAAGGGGTTTTGTGGAGATTTTAGTAATTTAATAGTTGAGATCGTGAGTCAATTGAGGCTAGACCATCATGGAAAGCCTGGAAGCATTGGACGTCCGTTTCGTCCTATTGTGAGACTCCTCGTGGATTCAACTATAAAATTACTAAAGTCTTCACAAAAGCTCTCCTCGTAATAATAATCATTGAATGCTCACTAGTGACTGGTTTCAAGAGGTATTCTCTGGAGTTCTAGTGAGAACCCGTGACCAGTGAAGTTCGACCGGGTCAGTTGTGAAACAGTAACTCACTGAAGACAATGGTAGATGTGTCGCTCAATTTCGTGGATTAGTTGGATCCGGACATTAATACCGTCGGATGCCGGCCCAGTGGTCTACAGGCTAACTGTTCGTACGTGAGATCGAATGTCGTAGGTTGGAATCTCGCGAGGCGGGATCGTGGATGCGCACTATTGAGGAGTTCCATAGTAGAACGGAACGGCCGTCTAATGCTTCCAGATTTTTCATAGTGGTTCAGCCTCGATTGACTCATGAACTGAACTATATAATGTCTACTTTTTTAATTCGCGATGTTAATTTACCTGTCAACACAAATTGGACTATCTTTTTTCATCATACAAACAACGAATAATGAAACTATAAGAAACAGTTTCAGTTTTGAGTTTACGTTTCTTATAAATAATCGTTTTATTCGTTTAAAGGTCCCCGTCATATTGAAAGACTAGTATTTAAACGAAGAACATTCTTTTCGATAAATTCGCTTCAGGTTCTACAATTATATGGGTCAAAACCCATATTTATTCCGATCATGGATCTTAAAATTTCATTTAACATATACGCAGATTCAAGTTAACATTCTATCTGAGTCATATCAACATTAACAATTTTATTGTATTTTGTTTATCACAATCCTAAATTCACATGCTTTAAGCGATGTACTTTATCCTAAACCTGGCCATTTTTCGGATTATTAATTTGGATATATTAAATTGTAGGAACCTGAAGAGAATTTATCGAAAAGAATATTCTTCGTTCAAATACTAATTGTTTTATTCGTTGTTAATTAATAAAACGATTATCAAAGAAATTGTTGCCTATATGGAATTACTGGATTAATTAGTAGTATATAAACATTCAATATGTATTTAATATTATAAAATACTTTACTCCAGATATGAAACTAGTGACCTCATAAGAATCTGTCATTCAATATTTCAATTATCATCTTAGATAAAGCTTTGATCATTTTCAGTATCTTGAAAATCTAATAGTTTTGACAATTTGATTGATATTACTCGGTATTGAACTTATCTAGATCAAAGTGTTTTTTTCTTTCGTTGTTGAATCGTTTCAATTGTGATATGCATGTTATTACATTTCAAGTTAAGCAGTAAATATAGGTTAAATACAATGTATGACGTGTATAGTTTAATATATATATATATATATATATATATATATATATATATATATATATATATTGAAATGAGTATTTGATTGATAATGACTGTAAGAAAGCAGGTCACATTAAATAAATCTTACTTTTAGGTTTAAAATAATCCTTCTTTCATAATAATGTAATTGTAAACGGTCACGTTTGTTTATTGACACTGAATTTTAGGATCGTATTAACAGTTTCATTGTAATGATATTTTTGATACTTAGCAATAAAATACAATTGCATTATTACCAATGATTATAATCATATTAATTAGTTGAAATCTTAAAGATGTATTTTGTACAGTTAATAAATGAAGGGATATATCAAGTTATTTAGTTGATGAGTTAATCATTGACACTGAAAATTGTTAATTTATTATTGTTCAATATTTAGTTTAAGATCTTTTATGGATGATATTATCTAGTATCTTATCAATAGTGTTACTATTTCGAAATTACTGTATCATAATAATTACTCAGTAGGTGTTGATATACGGGTATTTGATAGTTTCTGTAAGTAGAATTAGTATGGATGTTTTGGAATTCTCAATGATTATTTATTCTTTTGATAGTACTGAGCAACAATGCCGGAGTGTTTAAGATGCGCTTCTCTCCCTCTAAACGCTTCACTTATCTTGGAAATCTAATCACCCCAAATAGGTTGGTGTCTGACGAAATCTCTACACGGATTCGAAAACCTCGTTTGGCTTTTGTCAACTTACGTCACCTATGGTGAAGACGAGGTATCTGTCTATCAATTAAGGGACGAGTGTACTGTGCGGCAGTTCGTTCTGTTCTACTTTACGGCTGCGAAACGTGGCCATCAACAGTAGAAGATACTCATAAGCTACTAGTACTTGACCACAGATGTCTTAGAAACATTGCTCGCATTCGCTGGGATCTCCGGGTAAGTAATAGTGAGGTCCGACGCAAGGTATTAGAGAATGATGGTAAATCAATTGATGAGGTTGTGAATCCTCATCGACTGAGATGGCTGGGTCACGTGGTACGTATGCCTGAACACCGATTACCACGACGCGCAATGCTGACTAGTGTTGGAGACGATGGAAGAAAGTTTGCGGAGGCCAGACTAAGAGGTGGGTCAGTGCTTGCAGTCATAAACTTCTGGCCTGAGCCACGTTGGTAGATGCACACTACTCGGTTGGGGTCTATGTGACTATCGTAACCAATATTTATAGACTGTGTAACATGGCTCAGAATCGATCACATTGGCGTAGGTGTATACACTCTCTATCTTCCCTTAAATTAAAATCGCTTCATATCTTTCTTTCTATGAACTAATTCTTTTTTCCTGTACTATGTCCTTATGTGCAGTCTTTCTTTTATATATTACCACCATTGAATTAACTACTTCTATGAATCCGGTGTTCATCTTTTTTGTATTAATGAGGTATGGCAACTTGGATCGATGCATGTATGTGCCTAGTACTACATTGTAGCTGATTGACTGATTCTTTTAAGCCAATAGAGTTTTGTATGAATCGTATAGTTGATATGTGTTTGTTGTTTGAACCTTCCTATTGACACTTACGAATTCAATTTATCAGTCTCTTTTTAATATATGTCGTACATATAATTAAAGAGTTATATATCGAGTGAAACGCACGTCCTGGATACCACTACTAGCCAACATCCATCTCTGAATAAAAAATCATTTAACTGTTCGTTTCTGTTAGTTTAGCTTTAAATTGAGGTGAAGGTACCGAAACACAATTATTTGAGTTTTTTTATTTTAACTAGGGATTATTTGGTAAATCAAGTATTTATGATGTCAGTGTTTATGAAGATACGATATGGAAGGAACTAATGAGGCTGATGTTAGACTTGCTGTCTTTAAATGATACTGATTAAATTAACAATTGGTTCATAAGAAAGTGATAGTGATTGAAAAAACTAATATATATGATTTAATGCATAAATGAACGAGATTTAAATCTATAAACTGACCGTTGAGTGAATAAATGATACTTTTCGCATACATCTCGTGTTGTTCCATGAAATGAACTGGTGTTATTTATTTTTTTATTATTATTATCAGCTTTATTCAATATTATATTTTTGGTACAATATAGAATTCTCAGCGCAAAGTATTTCAACAAGTTTCCGTTTCTTTCTTCTTGGTCGGTCCTGGCGATAAATATTGAGTGATCGCCAGTTAGATGTTAGCAGTTCAGTAAATGAACATCTGAATAATGTGCATTCTTTTCGTTGTATATTGCCAGCAACCACATTGTCTCTTATCAAGTTTTTTGTAACTTTGACAACGAAAGGTTGTACACTTTTCAGAAACGCAGCAGAATAGGTTGTGCGATTAATAAACATAATGATATATTGAAACAAACAAAAATGGATAACTTGTTGAAATATCTAGATGGCAGGAACAGGTAGCCCAGATGATCAAGCAGGCCGCCCTTGACTACACGACTTCAATTAGTTAAGTACCATAAACACCGGCAAATTCTATATTATATATTGAATGTCTATCGAGTTATGTACCAATTCATTTAGTTTAAACTCAACTGTAATGTCATTTTAATTTCATATGTAACCACAATAACTTTCAATGTGCAAGAACGCTTGAAACATGGTCGTTCAATGAATGTTAGGTAGACGGGTTGATGGCAGTGTGAGATCTGTTACAAATTGTTGATTCTTGAAGAATTTATGAGCTTGGCTGTTGTATATACTAGTCCTCAGCTAATTAATTCAGAGCTACTTAGGAACACAAAAATGACGTAGTTAACACAATCGTTTATTTCTACATTACTTACATACTTACGCCTGTTACCCCTCGTCGAGGAGCATAGGCCATTCACCAGCGTTCTCCGTCCAACTTTGTCCTGGACAATCCTTTCCAGTTCTTTCTAGTTGCTATACATCCATTTCTTATCTGCTTTTAGTTCTCGGAGCAGTGTGTTCTTTGTTCTTCCTCTTTTCTGTTTTCCTTCAGGATTCGAAGTTAGGGCTTGCCTGGTGAAGCACTTTGGTGATTTCCGTAATGTATGTCTTATTTACCTCTGACGTCTTTTGCTAATTTCCTCCACAATTGAAAGCTGGTTTGTCCTTCTCCCATAGTAGGTTGTTGATGATGACATCCAACCAATGAACATTGAGTATAATTCATATACAAGTGTTTATAAATACTTTTACCTTTTGATGATGGTTTTGGTAGTGCTCCACGTCTCAGCTCCACACAGTAGGGCTGTCTTGACGTTCATATTAAATGTTGTGGCTTTGTTTGGTTGACAGTTGTTTTGAGTTTCATGTGTTTTTCTATCGTGGGAATGTCGAGAACATTTCCCGGTACTGACGGTTGTGTGATGCCTCCGTAGCTTCACACTTTTTCGGATCTCCTTTTTTGGCACCTTGATTAGGTATCCTCCTTTCCAATCCATCAGTATTTGTTCTTCTTCTCACGTCTTTATGAACAGAACATGAAGCATAATTGCAATTACTTTTATTGAGGTGTGTGCCACTAATTACGATAATATAAGTATTATATATCATCAACTGAGAGTAAAATGCCTAGAAGCAGAAGGTTAAGAGGATCGAAGAAAACAGAACGAGAACAGAGAATGATTGCTGTGAAAATGAAGGATCCGTAAAGTCTGAGACGATTGACTGAAATTCTGTAACTTGAGTATTTACTGTATGGTCCTCAAACTTTACTAAGCGATTCTGGAATTTTGTGTTCAAATACATTCGATTGCCCCCACTAGTGTTCTCGTTCACTATATTATACCTGACTTCAAAACTTCAGATGATTCATCGTTAGGTCCTGCTGCTTTCTCACTATTTGTTGGTGGAGTGACGCCTATGGGAAGGTCTGTGTGTACTGCTTCGATATTCAGTGGAGCTGGTCTATTCAAGAGTTCCTCGAATTATTCTACCTATCTCTTCCTATGTTCATGAATCTCGGTGATTGTCTTGCCTTTTTTCTTGATCGATCTCTCTTGTTTATTATATTTCCCTGCTAGTTTCTTCATTGTGTCACACAACTTTCTCATATTTTCTAATACAGCTTTTACCGCTGTCCTTCTTACCTCTTCCATGTATTTCTGCTTATCGGCTCTAATGTTCCTCTTCACTCGTTTGTTTCCTCTGTGTATTGAATTTGTGCCATTAATTTCTCTGCTCTTATTCGACTGATGCTACTTACTGTCTTTGTGTTTTTCCTTTCTTGAATATTGTCCAGGGTTTCGATAGAGATCCGTTCGTTATGTTGATGCTTGTTGCGGCCCAGCACCTCTTGACACGCTGAAGTTATTGCTTTTTTGATCTTTTTCTAGTTGTCCCCTATAGTATTTTGTTATTCTTTGACCACATCATGCAAGGCTTGGAACCTGTTGTTGAGAATTATCTTGAATTAGTTCATTTTATCAGTATGTCGATGAAAGTCTGTATTGAACCTTTGTACTGTTGTCTTTCCAGCTGTCCAATGTTTTTAGACTCAGTTTCATCTTGGGCAGAATCAGGTAGTGACCTGAAGCTATGTCAGCTCCTCTTCTTGTTCTCACGTCTTCCATTGTCCTTGTGAATTTTTTACTGATACAAATGTGATCTATCTGGTTCTCCATGGTGCGATCCGGAGAGACCCATGTAGTTTTATGTGGGAATATTGTTGAATGCACGTAAATTTGCAAATCTCTCTCCACTCTCGTTTTTTTCTCCCAGTCCATATCGTCCCATAGTATATTCATATCCGGCGTCATCCATTCCGACTTTGGCGTTTAGGTCTCCCATCAGGATGGTGAGATCCTTTCTTGTGCACTTGGCTATGATTGATTTCAGCCTCTCATAAAACTGATCTTTATCGTCGTCGTTACTACCATTTTTGGGTGCATAAGATTGGATGAAATTCATTGTGATTCCTTCCATCTTTGTTTTGAATGATGCTTTGATGGTTCTGGATCCATGATATTCCAATCCTATAAGTGCATTAAATGCTTCTTCGGATAGCATCAGAGCAACTCCCTGAGTACGTAAAGCATCTTCCTATTCGTGATAGGAGTACAGCAACATCTTTGCTGTGCAATATGAGTTGAATGCGTTTCTCTGATTTTGAGTATTATGAAGTTGTATCTCTTTATTTCTATTTGATTGGTCTTCCGGGTCTCCCATATTGTCCGGACGTTCCATGTACCGATAAAAACTGTTGCTCTGGTTGTTAAGCATCTAGGAATTAAAAATATTATTAATGTATTGTTTGATTACTAGACTATTTATAAATTAACATAGTTGAACGGTCCTTCTATTGTGTAATCGTAACAGAGTTAAAGAAGCTATTTAAGCAAATTTAATTATTATATCAATATAGAGTTGTGAAGATTTCTGAGTTTTAATTGAGATCATTAACTGACCAATGGTAGAACAACACTAAAAACTTGAAAGCACTAAATGGCGTTTTATCTCAATATAAGACTTTTTAGTAGTGCGTATCCACTTAAGATACTGGATTTAAATCCTACTTGCAAGATTGTAGATGCGCACTGTTGAGTAGTCCCATACTAGAACGAAAAGGTCATCTATTGCTTTCAGGTTCTTAATGGTACCCTAACACTGATCAATTCATGATCTCAACTAATTATTATAACTTCCAAGTTATCAATGTTAATAACGTATTACTAAACATAATGCAGTGAACACAAGTGGGGAAAACCGAATGTATTTGAATACGAAATTACAGAATATCTCACTAAAATGTGAGAACCATACAGTAAATACTTTATTCACAAAATATCAATCAGTTGTCTCAAACTTCATTATTCTTTTGTTTCCACACCAATCATTCTCTGTTTTTGTTCTCTTTTCTTTCATCTTATTAACCTTCTGCCATCATGTATTTCACTTTCGTTTGATGATGCATACTACTTATCTCTATCGACATCAGTACCACATAACACAATACCATTAATAAAAACATGGGTTATTAATCCACATTTTTAAAATAAATGAGAAACGTATATCAATTATCATAAACTATTATTATTATCAAATAGTTCGGTGAGACTATAACTTATGGACAACCTTTGAGTGACGCTAACGTGATATTGAGAATGTTCACATACTAAATAGGACCAAATGAGAATTATAAACCATGGTGAGGAACTAGAAGTAAGATTCACTGTTGATGATTAAGTATTAGGAATTAGATTTATGGTTTTTATCACGAACTGACATAAACTAAAATGCCAAAAACACTGTTTAACCAAATGGATGAATGAATTTTGCACCAAAATCCAAGAGCTTTTATGTTATATCTGATTGGTTCATCTATAAATTATAGTGTCGTCGATGGTTCATCAAAATAAAACAAGTAAACGAGTAATAAACAAAAGAATGTCACATAGTTATTTGTTTTTCATTCATTGTTCCTACATTTCCATACCAATTACTTTCCATTTCCATTCTTTCCTTCTCAATCTCCGTACTAAAATACATTCTATTTTTGACTATTGTTTCATTCTACTTATATCAATATAAGTAGCTCATATCATAATACAAAATATTAATTATTTTTTTAAAAACATTTCTTTTTCATTTATTAGAACAAAAGATTTTCAACATTATAATATTTCAAATTTTTTAAAATTTATGAATGATCCCAATAGTCAATCATTAAAACAATTAAAATTTATTCTATTCAATATTCAACAAATTTATCAAGATATTTTCAATGAATTAATTTATGAAAATGATAATACAAATGAAAGTAATAATCATCATCATAATGATAATAATCGATTAAATGAATTACATAATAAAACAATCAATTTTGGTATATTTAATATAACAATCAAACAAATTTATTGGTTATCAACTATATCCCGATTTATATGCGGTACAAAAACATCACATTTAAATGATATTGGCCAATTAATGGAATTCATAAAAGATATTGATTTTACTAATTTATTTGATATTGAAAAAAAATTAACCCGAATTCAACGTTCATTACCATTAATAACACCAATGAATTCTATGAATTCTATCAATAATAATTATAAAATTAATTGTATTTCATTACAAAAATTATTACATAATAAATTATTTATACAATATACCGGACGTATAAGATTTTTATTAAATGGTTATATATATTATTATCCTGTAAATCAATGGACAAATGAAATCATGTATAGAGTAATGGAACCGCAACGTTTATTATTATTCTTTAAAAATACATTAAAACAATATCAATTACATACTAAACCAATTTTAAATTATTATTTATCCAATACATCATTATTAATACAAGTTAGACATTTATTAAATCTTTGTATATCACATTTTAATAATCATAATAATAATAATCATACAATATTATATAATACTATTCGAAATATATGTATAAAAGGATTATATTGGTTAAGTCCTGAAATAAACAATTATACAAATCAAACAAATGATTTATTAAATAAACCAATTATTTTTAATCGAATTAATAATATCATTGATATTATGATACAATTATTAGATTGTTTTCCCTTAGCAACAAATATATACGGTGTAAATAATGAAACAAATTTTAATTTACTTATGGATTTATTTAAATCACAAGTACATCCAATTGTTCAAGGTATTATATTTAATAATACAATATTTTCATTAACTAATCATCATAATTATACATTGGATATGTTAAAAAATTCATCAACTATAGTAACAATACGTCAAAGTTCCTATCTTATAGATGATACAAATAATTATAAAGTATTAGATCATACATGGCATCCAGGACCACGTAATAATGTAAATGATGGTGATACAAAATATTTTACAAGTGGTTTTTTAGATATACAAGATTTAATTAGTAATGCAATTATAGAAATATCTAATAATTTACCAGAACGTATTCAACGTTTAAATAATTCATGGAATATATGGAATACATCATCATCTTCATCATCATCATCTTCATCATCGTCATCATCAATGGATTTATTGATTGGTAAACAAATGAAATTTTTTCCAACTACATGTTATATAAATGATAAATTTTTATATAAAATAACAAAATTATTACCACAATTATTAATTCTAACATGGATATTAACAGCGATGTTATTAACAAAATATATTGTAGAAGAAAAAGAATTATATATTAAAGAATTTACTAAAATTATGGGTTTTACTAATATTATACATTGGTTTAGTTGGTTTAGTAGTACATTTATAGTTGTATTACCTATTACTATCATTATTACAATTATATTAAAATATGGTAATATTATTATATTAAGTAATATATTTATTATATTTTTATTATTTATATCTTATATTATATCAATTATTATGTTTTGTTTTTTATGTTCAATATTTTTTTATAAAGCTAATTTAAGTGCTATTATAACTGGTTTATTTTATTTTATATTATATATACCATTACCAATTATATTAATGAATGAAAAATGGATTACAGAAGAACTAATTATATTTACATCATTATCAAATCAAGTAGCATTTTGTTTAGGTTTATATTCATTATTAAGATCAGAATCACAAGGTTTTGGTACACAATGGAATAATATATGGCATATTAAATTAAGTGATTCATTATATTCACCTGGTAAATGTATACTGATGTTATGGATTGATTCTATATTATATTTATGTATAACATTATTAATAGAATGGATTATATCAAACAACCATTATATATATCAATCATTTTATTCAAGAATTATATATCAAAACTGGAAGATAATCAAAAAGAATCATGAAAAGAATCCTATCGATTCAATGAATAATAATAATAATAATAATGTTTATGAAGAAAGTGGGAAATTGCCATTATGTATAGAATCGAATACAGAATGTTTACCAATTAGTATATCTGTAAAAAATATTAGTAAAATTTATACTAAAAATAATAAACCAGCATTAAATCAATTAACTATCGATTTTTATACAAATCAAATTACATCATTATTAGGACATAATGGATCAGGTAAATCGACATTAATATCCATTTTAACTGGTATTCATAAACCATCCAATGGTACAGCATATATTTGTGGTTATAATATATATAATCAAATGAATATAATACGTACTAATTTAGGTTATTGTCCACAACATAATATCTTATTTGATTATTTCACAGTTATTGAACATATAAAATTTTATGCTAAATTAAAAGGTTTTAATAATGAACAAATGAATATAGAAATACAATATTTTATAAAATTATTAAATTTAAATGATAAACTAAATGATCAAGTAAAATATTTATCTGGTGGACAAAAACGTAAATTATCTATAGCTATAGCATTTATTGGTCATTCATCAATTATATTATTAGATGAACCAACTACTGGTATTGATCCATATTCACGTAGATCAATATGGGATTTAATTATTAAAATGAAATTAAATAAAACAATTATTATAACAACACATCATATGGATGAAGCAGATATTTTAGGTGATCGTATAGCTATTATATCACAAGGTCAATTAAAATGTTATGGTTCTAGTTTATATTTAAAATCAATATATAATCAAGGTTATTATTTAATATTAGAACGTCAAAATCAATCTATAAATAATGATTCTATAGAAAATTATCATAATAATGATACATTAATCAATGAACCGATCAATTATATCATTAATTATTTAAAACAATATATTAATGATATACATTTAATTGATTTTAATCAAAATGAATTCATATTTCGTATACCAATCCATAATGTTATTGATAATTCATTAAGTCATTTATTGAAACAATTTGAAAATCAACAATCTAATAATGATCAAATGAAATTACCTATTGAATTAATATCACATGGTATAATTAGTTATGGATTAACGGATACTTCATTAGAGGAAATATTTCTTAGTATAGCGGATGATCCTGCAATGTTATCAAAGAATTCAAATAATTCATTATGTGATAATATTACAATAACTAATAATCAAAATGATAATCAATATGAAATTGATAAAAATCAAATCAATACATCAATGAATCGAATACAAGAACAACAACAGCAAGAAACGTTAATTGATACTAAATTACATGAATCACATTTAACAGATATAGGCCAAATTTCATCATCATCATCAACAACAACATTATTACGTCATCTTAATCGTAAACATGATTATAAAATAAATAAATTAAAACAATCTAATGATATAACAGATAATAAATCAATATTAAATGAAAATATACCATTGCTACAATCTAATATAAAACAACAAATGAAAGCAATGTTTATAAAACGTTTACATTATTTTAAACGATCTAAATTAAGTATATTTATTGAATTTATATTACCTATATGTGTACTTATTTTAGCATTAAAATCATCACAATTTTTTATTAAAACAACATCATATCAACCAATGATTATAACACCATGGCTTATGATAAATGATAAAAATAAATTACCATTAAATACATTTTATGAAAATAATTTATATGAATTAAATGATCCAATTGAAAATATAATGAATCAATCAAAATTATTTAAATCTATATTAAATATAGGATGGAATTATGAGAATGCATTAAAAAGCCCATTAGGATGGACTGGTATAGGTTGTTTATCTAAAGAAACATTAAGAAATATCAATGGATATTATAAAATATATGATCAATGTAATTTATCTAATATAAAAATAATGAAAACAGATTTAACTTATAATGAAATGAAATATATACGTTCTATTCAATCTATTGATTGTTCATGTAATTTATCCTGTTTCATAAATAGTTATACATTGGCTCATCAACAACCAAGTTTTAGAATTTTACCAACTAAAGATATTTTCTATAATTTAACATCATTTAAAGTATCAAATTATTTAATAAATACACAACATCAATATATAAGACAAAGATATGGTGGTTTAAGTTATCATACATTAAATTATCCATCATTTCGTAAAATGTTTAAATATTTATTAAATTCAAATCATTTATTTATACATTTATTAACGAATACTACTAGTATCTATGATATACATAATAATTTAATTAAAAAAGATACTTTCTGGATTGATTTAATAACATTTCTAAGATTATCATTACCATCTATATCATATTTACGTATATGGTTTAATAATAAAGGTTATGTATCTGGTCCAGCTTATTTAAATTCATTACATAATTTACAATTAAATATGTTATTAAATAATTATAATAATTTAACTAATATTATATTTATTAATTATCCATTATCATTATCAAATCTAAATGATAATAGTTTAGGTTTATCTAAAGAATTATTAATTGATTTAACATTATCATTATTTACATTACTTAGTTTATCCCTGATACCAGCTAGTTTTATATCATTTTTAGTGAAAGAAAATAATATTGGTTCAAAACATTTACAAATTGTTTCAGGTTTAAAATCAATGATCTATTGGTTAACATCATATTTATGGGATATTATAAATTATATGATATGTGGTTTATTATGTATTATTATATTTATTATATTTGAAAAATTCGCTTATATTCATTCAGATGTTATTTATGCATTTATTTTATTAATTTTATTATATGGTATAGCTATTATACCAATGTTATATATGACAACATATTTTATTACATCATCAAGTACATCATTAGTAATATTATCTATATTTAATTTATTAATTGGTTCTATTACATGTATGTGTACTGTGATATTAGATGATTTTTCTAAAAATAATTTTTTATTAGAAATAATTAATAATATATTAAAATATATATTTACTATATTTCCACAATATTGTTTAAGTCGTGGTTTATTTGATTTAGCTAAACGTTATTATATTATGAATACTATTAAACAATATACAACAAATATCAAGAAATCATCATCATCATTATCATCATTATTATGGATAGATTATAATACAAATCCATTACATTGGAATCTACTTGGTCATAAATTATTTGCATTATTCATTGAAGCATGTTTATTTTTTTTATTTGTTTTATTAAAAGAAAATAAATTTTTTATACAATCAATTAAATATTATTTTTATATTAATTATCCAAAATTATTCATTAAACATCATATGTTATTAATGAAAAAACTTAATCAAATGAAATCGAATTATAATGATAAGGATAATGATCAAAGTCATCATATGAATCAATCAATGATTGATAATAATAATAATGAAGAGGATGAAGAGAATAATTCGGAAGATGAAGATGTACATGCTGAAAGATTACGTATTTCAAAGGTATATGTTTTAGTTTTATTATTATTATTGTTGAAATTTTTTTATAAGACTTTTATAATCTATTCAAGAGGGTGGCCTGCTTGAGCATTTGGGCTACCTGTTTCTGCCATCTAAATATTTCAACAAGTTATCTATTTTTTGTTTATTTTAATATATCATTATGTCTTTTAATCGCATAATCTATTCTGTTGCGTTTCTGAAAAGTGTACAACGTTTCGTTGTTAAAGTTACAAAAAACTTGATAAGAGACAATGTGGTTGCTGGCAATATACAACAAAAAGAATGTACATTATTCAGATGTTCATTTACTGAACTGTTAACATCTAACTGGAGATCACTCAATATTTATCGCCAGGACCGACCAAGAAGAAAGAAACGGAAACTTGTTGAAATACTTTGCGCTGAGAATTCTATATTGTACCAAAAATATAATATTGAATAAAGCTAATGATAATAATAATAATAATATTTAATTATAATATGGTGTTATTGAGAAATATGAATGGATCATTATTGAATATGTTAAGCATTGATATAAAGCTAGTGGTTCTGTCTATTTAAATATACTGATATTCATTGTTGATGTATTTGTTTGTTAAAGTAAATATTATACATCAGATTTCGTTCACTGAAATTGCTTGTAATTATTAATTCTATATTGGTATATTGTATTACTAAAGTTAAGTATATAGACAACAGATTTATTGTCACGAAAATTAATGTTTTGTGATTAGTGTTATATCCGAGCGAAGATTAAATTACGAATAACTTCTGAGACATATTAATTGACTAATATTATCTATACATTCTTATGGTATAACTATTCAATAATTAGATCATGTATATTTATATTCCTCCTATTATAAGCTTTATTTTGACCAATAATTTATTATTGTACGATTTACTGTTCTTAAGCAATGTTCAGTTTATTGACTACTGCCTCCCATGTTCACAGTCACTTTTTGGCTTTATTGTGTACAAATGTTATTTCCTATTTTATGGTGCATTGTGGTCTGTTTGATTGATATATAAACCCAGTATGTCTAAAACAAAAGATTCGATTCGATTCGCATAGTGGGAGCTGGTATTGTTGTTCTGGACTTAAGTGGACGGGTTAGGCGACATAGGACCAATAAGGACGCTAGATTGCTCATACCGGTCGAACGTCATTGGTTTGGCACAGTGCGAAGATTGTATAAGTCGTATTTTGATTGGTGGACAAATCACGTGATAAAAAGCCGGACATAAAGTCATAACAATTGGGAAAATTTACCCATTAATAAAGATATTGTCATAATTATTTGATAAAGAAACAAATTCTAGAGCATTGTGCAGTATATTAAAGATGAATAGTGCCTTGCAGTGGAATGCAGTTTGACGCACGTTCCCACCTATTTGGGACTCGTCAGATGGGTGTACCTGCATCTCAGATTTGATGCTCACTCTGAAACTCAAGCTCAGTACCGTTCGCTTCAGACGCCATCGTATTATTCAAGTAAAACATAACCAAGTGAATTAAACTTCACCCCATTGCACAAGCAAGTGGCTATCAGGACTCAGTAGCTAAGTGGATAACGTGATGGAGTTTGAAGAGAACGGTACTGTGTTTGAGTCCCAAAGTGAACACCAACTCTGGGATGCAGGTACATCCAGCTGACGAATACCAAATAAGACGAAATGCGCGTGTTGAATTCGACAACTAGCCACTATACATCTTTGCTTATAATACTTGTAAATTAAGACAGTATTGAGGCCAATACTCACAGTATGCACTTTTGCCAATAAGAGACTGATCAATTACAGTCGTAAATAAGAATGAGAAGATTCAACTAAAACAATACCAAGTGAATTGTACAGTACAGTTACAATATCACAAATCAACCCATTTTTGAAATTTATTAAAAATATATGTTTTCACAACTTTGTATGTTATCAACTTGTTTAAATGACTTATCATTCAACTTGAAATTCTAAAAATCAAATAAATTGGATAATTTATTATCTTGATCAATATTCGTATCGTACGTATAAAAGAATCAGGTATCTAAGATTTATCAGATGAAAGATAAATATCCCACCTAAATTCATTTATTAAGAAAGTAGAAGCGATAGTAAGTTATATTTTACACTTCAAATTTTGTTATTTTATACTACTTATTACACCAGGGCGTTTGTTTCCTTTATTCACATATTATATACTACTTATGAGTAACTAAAATTAAATAAGAAACGTTTACGTTTTTCTTATAATATCAGATTATTTCCTTTCATTTATTCCAGTAACCAAATATGGTCACATTTGATTCTCTGAAGGCTACTACTATGATCATTTTCATTTGTTTGTCAGTTGAGTTGACACTCATCATTCTGTTCAGTCTGAAGTATGAGTGCAATTCACTGAAATTTCACTCATTATTTAGATTGCCACCATCAGAACCGTCCAGAAAATCATTTTCTTTTTAAAAGTGATGTAAAGACAATTGATTAGTCTGTGTTGACCCCTTCTCATCGTTTCCAACAAATGTCTTACAGTTGAGTATCTTGTACATGATTTTACATTAACACATTACTAAATGTGATTGTTCATGATAATGTATACACTACGTACATGATTCCGTCAAAAATAAACAATAATTTCGTCCATTAATTTTCACGCTTTTACGAATGGTCAAATAAAATTCTTCTCTATTGTTCTGCTTGATTTCATTTTGTCTTGAACCAGACTCTACATTTGTTACTTAACGCCAGTCGGTGACGTTTCACTATTAGTTTACGTTAACATTCTTTGAAAATCTCTTCAGCTTACATAATGCTTTCTGTTTAATTCCATTGACACGGATTTGATACAAGATATATCCCATGATTATCAGCTTTACTTGTAAAGGTTTGTACTTTACTAACTTTCTGTACTGTGGGTTGATGAATCTTCATTACGTTCATGCTAAGCAAATCGTCTCAATATTGCATCTTAGTTTATATCTGTTAACATATTTATATTGTAGATAGTATTGGAATCCAAACTGTACGTTTCATTCTACTTCGGAATGCTTAGTATTCAGACCGAAAATTATTGCGTTCAAATCTTGATTTAAAAATCAGTAGTAGAGTCCAGATACATCCAGCTGACATGTCACAAATACAGAGAAACAAGCTTACTGGATTGTGCTGCTAGCCACTTTTCAACTTTGATGTTAATTTTACTATTCTTTTTACCTCTTTACTAGCGTCCCTGTGATTATAAGGCTTCACTATAAATAGTTAAATAATCGATATTTATGAATACTTATCAACTAAATTCATTTACCCGTGTTGCTAGTAATTACTACTCTTGAGGTTTATCATTCACATGTGGAGATGAAGGTTCAAAATTCTATTCTTGATGTCAGTCATTACTGTTGTGAAGCATAATACGAGAAAGAAATGGCAGCCAAATGCCCTCAGTTTTCAATGATTATCCAATAGAGATATGTTTGTGATCTCAAATTTAATTACATCTATTAATGTACTACTACAAATTTACTGAACGTAATGATGACAACCATTCAAACTAGTTAATAAAGAAAATAAAATCCTAAAAATAGTTTTTTTTTACTTTTAAATAAATTAGGGATTTTCTGTAACATCATGGTGGTTGGTTCATTCTCAATATGAAATGATTTCGTTTGAATAAATAATAATGAAACTCTTACAATACTTAACAGCTGTTCCACTATTCTTCATAAGAATGTAGTTTTATCAAGATAACATGTTCAAGCAATTCTAACAATTAAGCTAATAGGGTATAATTCATATTTTATTATACTTTAATTAGTTTACACGACTATATAGATAGTTATCAATAAACGATTGTGAAAATCATTATGTTTTTCATTCAGATCATAAACCTGATCGACGTTAGTCCACCATTGAAAACCTGGAAGCATCCACCTCCACAACGAATAATTAGTTTATAGGATACATATATGGTCAATTGAAAGATATTCCTGATGAATCGTTATGATTGATATTTTGAGTGAAAACCTTTATTAATTTTTCGCATAGAAAATGAATTTTCAACTTTGAAATGTCATGTTTAAAGACTTTACTGAATATTTAATGATCTAAGTGTGCTTTAAACACGATTAAGGATCTTCAGTGATTGACAATATTAACACAGTTTTCATAAGTGAGCTTTCGATGCAAAGTGATTGGCACACTTCAATATCTGCTTTCAATACATTCAAGCATGGATGTTTTCATTGAAACCATCAATTGTTTATGGAATATATGCTATATCATTTGAATATTGTCTTCTATTTTTAATTAGGCTGACAAAGAAGGTTATATCAATTCTCTATGTTCAGTTGCAGTTATTAATTTAACTAAATTTTTCCCTCGGAAGAAGAAACCATCTGTTAATCGTTTAACATTTGGAGTTCGTCCAGGAGAATGTTTTGGATTACTTGGAGTAAATGGAGCAGGTAAAACTACCACATTTAATATGATTACTGGCAAACTACATCCATCCATGGGAACTGTATATGTCAATGGATTTAATGTAGTTACACAAACTAAGAATGCATTGAAAAATCTAGGATATTGTCCACAATTTGATGCTGTTCATGATCTTTTAACTGGTCGAGAAACACTTACTTTATATGCTCGTTTACGTGGTTTTCCTGAAAAACAAATTTCTACAACTGTCAATGAATTATTACAAAATATGGGTTTATTACCATATGCCGATCGTATTACATCAGTTTATTCAGGTGGTAATCTTAGAAAATTATCAACTGCAATTGCTATAATTGGTAAACCACAAGTTATATTACTTGATGAACCAACTAGTGGAATGGATCCAATTGGTAAACGTTTTATGTGGGATCAAATTATATCACTTATTAAAGATGGTCGATCTATTATATTAACAACTCATAGTATGGAAGAATGTGAAGCATTATGTCAATCAATTGGTATTATGATTAATGGACAATTAAAATGTTTTGGTAGTATACAACATTTAAAAAATCGTTATGGTAATGGTTATCATGTGGAAATACGTTTAAATCATTTAATAACAATTGAACAAATTAATCAATTAAAAAATAAATTTAATAAAAAATTTCCTCATTCAATATTAAATGAATTACAATCACATTATTATGAATATCAAATGAATAAACATATTCAATTATCAATATTATTTAAATTATTAAATAAAATGCAATTCAATCATTATATTGAACATTATTCAGTAAAACAAACAACATTAGATCAAGTATTTGTTAATTTTTCACGTAATACAAATAAATAAATAAATAAATAAAACTACAAATACTACTGAATTAATGAAATAGAATATTGAATGTTTTTTTTTTAAAAAAAAAATATATCCCCTTTTATTATTTTTCTATTGAGATGCATTTATTTCAATTGTATTACGATGCGGCATAGTAACATGAATTGATTTATGTATGTATGTATGTATGTATGTACGAAGTTCTATGTTGTTGCTGACTGATTGATTAACTGATTATGATCATATAACAATCATGAATTGTATAAGTGATTCTTAATATTATTATGAATTAGAAATTAATGATATTTACTAACTTAGTCATTTACGCTTATGACTCTTAATGGAGTATAGGCCGCTGTCTAGTATTCTTTAAGTTACTTTGTTCTAAGTCTTCCTTTCTATTTCTATTTAAATTTTTTTCGTTCATTCTATTCATGTTTATCTCTATTTTTGGTCTTTCTCTTTACATTTTTGGGGCTTTGAGGAGTCCAAGTCAGGGCAAATCAATAACATATATATATATACACACACACACATATATATATATATATGCTAATATTCTTGAACATTCAATTGCTTTTCTCTTTCTTAAAAAAAAGCAAACAAACAATTTTGATAAAAATTTTTTATTATATGAAACAATCAAGTAAGTTTTAGAAAAAAAATTAGTTTTTTTGTTTGTTTATTTGTTTATTATCAAATGTATTATTTTTCAACTATTTTCAATTGTTGTTTACTTCAAGTGTTAAATAAGTAATCATCGTATCTCAGATTTATTCAATCGTTGTATACGAATAGCTTCTAATATATTGAATCTTCCAAAAATAGGAAATAATCAAGAATGAATATGAATGTATTATTGAAATAGATAATATCAATTATATAATTGTGTATGAAACATTTATCATTTAATACAAATATAACATTTGGTTTTATTATTATTATTCTTTATCAAAATCTATAAGTCAATAACAGTATTAGAAGGAGTTTTGTGAAGATTATAGTAATTTAAACAATTGAGATCATGAGTCAATTGAAGCTAGACCACCATAAAAAACCTGGACGTACTGGACGGCCGTTTCATCCTATTGTGGGACACCTCAGCGGTGCTCATCCACGACCTCGCCTGGCGGGATTCGAACCCAGGACATATCAATTGACTCACGATCTCAACTGTTTAACTTACTACAATCTCCACAAAACCCCTTTTAGTACTAATCACTATATGATCACTAGTGACTGACTTCAATATATATATCCAGGAGTTCTAGTGAGAACCAGTGACCAGTGGAGTTCAACCGGGTCAGTTGTGAGGTAGTAACTCACTGATGACAAAGGTGGATATGTCGCTCGATTTTGTGGATTAGTTGAAGTTAGACATTAACACCGTTGGATGATGGCTCAGTAGTCTAGTTGGTTAAGAGGCTGGTACGAGACTGATAGGTCGTGTGTTCGAATCCCGCCAGGCGAGGTCGTGGATGCTCACTGCTGAGGAGTACCATAATTGGACGAAACGGCCATCTAGTGCTTGCAGGTTTTCCATGGTGGTCTAGCTTCAATTGACTCATGATCTCAACTGTTTCAATCACAGTATTAAATTAGTGTAACATAATCTGATGATAAGTTCAGGTGAAATTTCAAGTTCTGTAGAAAATTTATTTCAGTGATAATTTAGTGAACAAGAACATAGGTGAGAACATTCGAATGTATTTGAGCACAAAATTACAGAATATCTCACTAAAATCTGAGAACAATACAGTCAATATTTAATTTCTAAATTATCAATCCATCATGTGAAACTTGACTGTTCCTGTTGCAAACATCAAACCATTATCTCAGATTTCATTGTTCATGCATTTTCATACCAATTGCATTCTGTTCCCGTTCTTTCCTCATCGACCTTCTATTGAAATACATTTTATGCCTGACCACCGTTATATACTACCTATGTGGATATATGGAAACCAGAACACAATAGTAACTAAGTTATGTATCAAAATTTGACTCATGATTGAATCTTTAGAATAAAATTAAAACTCTTCAGTGTTCTAATGTCGAGAGATTAATACCTCTGCTTTTAATCGTGATGAATTAATTGTAATTTCCGAAAAGTACTGTCTCGTAAACCTATATAGTTCATTAGAACAGACTTGATAATAATAATTAAGTGATTATGAAAAATTATCTGTATAGAGTTAAGGTGATTGCTGAGTTTTAATTGATATCATGGAGGAATGAATGTTAGACCATCATTGAAAACCTGTAAGCACTTGACAGCCGTTCCACTCTTTTACAGGACTCCTCATCAGTGTGGATCCACGATCTCGCATGTGGGACTGAGATCCAGGACTAATCGATCTCGTGCGCAAACACTCACTCTCCAAACCACTGAATCAATATCTAACGGTGTTCATATCTAACTTCAAACAATTCACGATATTGCACGACTGTCCACCATTGTCTTCAGTCAGTAACTACCTCTAAAACAGAAGACAATAAAGCTGTCAGTATTGACCCACTGAAGATAATGTGATAGGAAAATAGGGCGTGTTATCAATTCAGTTGTTGGTATCCTAAGTTAATGAAATTATATCTTCAACATTATTGGCAACCGAACTAGTGTGCATTTCAAATGAAATGTAACCATTACTAACGTAAGATTATGTAACTTGACTAAATCAATAAAATCATAAAAGTATTAATTTCATGTTCTGCGTTATTTCATCTCATTATCGAACGAATAATATTTATGATATTAAAGTTTCCATAGCTGCTTGTACTTAAAAAAATTAGTCAAATTCTTTGTTCTTAATTTCTTCAAAATGTAGTATTTTTATAGTAGACTTTATTAATATTAGAAGAATAGAACAGATCAATTAGTATATCAGAATTCTGGTATGTTTACTTTAAGGTGTGAAGAATTATCGATAGATTTTTGATCAGAACTAAGTATTAGATAAATAGATAGATTGTCAAATTTATTCATGTAACATGTTAGTTATGACTCTAATAGAAAAACAATAATATGAGTTCATAATAAAAATCAATTAAGTTGACTAGAATAACTTGAGAGACCTTATTGCATGAAGACTTAATAAGTAGTTATAGAATACTCATTATTATTCGAATGCCATATTACTCAAATTTAGTTGATCAAAACTCTTAACTTTTACTCTTTATTATTCAAACTTATCAATATCATCATAGGGCAATACTTGATAATTGTTGACACAGTCTACATCGAACTAGTCAATTTAAGATAATAGAATAAATTAAAATATATTCCTGTTTAGATCTAGATATTCTGAAAATGTCACTGATTAGCTTTAACACAATCGAAAAAAACTTTACATTATATTTTAATAATTTAGATCTATTCTAAACCAGTTATCCACCTTAAACAATGGATGAAGGGTTGAGGAAGATCATGGATCGATTGAAGTTAAACATTAACACCGTTAGATGTTGGCTCAGTAATTTAGAGATTAAGTGTTCGTGCACGAGACTGAAGGTTCTTGATTCCAGTCCCACGTACAGGATCGTGTTTGTGCAATATTGAGGAGTTCTATACCACAACGAAATGGTCATCCACTACTTTCAGGTTCTCAATGATAATCTAGTTAAAATATTACTACAATCTCCATAAATCCCCATTTCGATAATTACATATACTATAAGGGGTTTTTGTGCATACTATAGTAATTTAATGGTTGAATCCATGAGTCAATTGAAGCTAGACCACCATAGAAAACCTGAAAGCACTAGAAAGCGGTCCCGTCCAATTGTTGAACTCCTTAGCAGTAAGCATCCACAATCCCGCCCTGCGGGATTCGAACCCAGGACCTATCAGTCTCGTGCGCGTGCGGTAAACCTCTAGATCACTGAGCCGTCATCATACGGTGTTAATGTCTAACTTCAATCGATCTATGAAATTGAGCCACCGTCCACATATACATCATACATATACGTCAATTTTGTTGAATCCGAGTGAAAATTCAAAACTCGTTACCCTTTTTTTCATACCTATTTCCAGTAGATTTAGTAATCAATTAAATAGAAATTGTTTACGTCTCAATAGTTAAAAATACAACGCTTAGGAATTTCAAACTCATTCACAAAACTATTTATAATATCCCTAAAAAATAACCAAGAAATAAATAAATTTACTATTGTTTCTGTAGCCCTCCCCCCATCCTAATTACTGATGTATATATCTATGTGATGTAGTAACTAAACTAAATGTTCCTATTAAATTCAACATAAAATTTATTCAACCATTATGTCATAATAATCAGTATAATTATGATTGTTTCATAATTGTAAACAACTAGAAAGAACTTCAATAAAAAAGGGTGGATTCATAACATTGATCTTTGGGTGTTGTTTACGGATTGTGGAAATATGTTGATTGGGATAATAATAATAATAATAATGAAATAATGTAAGAGAATACTGCTAAGGAAACACTTTTAATATTCGGTACATTTTTGGAGATAAATTATTATGTGAACGTAATGATATAAACAATTTTGTTGAGGATATCTAGGTTATATGAGATAGCATTATAGATGAGTATACAAAATGAAGTCCAAGTTGGAGGCAAATGGAATATAGAAAAATAAATAAAGAAGGATATATAATGGGATTTACAGATGAAATATTGAATAACACAATTATGTAAACATAGATCAAATATCACTTCTATAGTTTTATTTAATAGTGAGATTTTATATGATATTTGTGATGTTTTCACAGTTGAAATCACTAGTCGATTTAAGTTGGATCACTATTGAAAAACAGATGGACGTTTCTTTGTAGTATTAGACTCATCAACAGTTTATATCCACGATCCTGGAAAGGAGATTCAAACTCAACGGCTTCAATCTCGTGTGTAAACAGCTAACTTCTAGAATTCTGAGCCAATATATAACGGTGTTAGTGTCTAACTTCAAGCAAAGCATAATCTTATGTAACTATTTGTCCATTGCATGCGGTGGATATCTGTTTCGCATCCGACACAGATTGAACTCTACTGATCATAGCTTCTCACTAGAACTCTAAGAGTTACACTTCGAAGCTAGGCATTAGGGAGCACACGATTGTAATCAATATAAACTGATTTGTAAGTTATTATATATATTTATAGTTAGAAATTTACTTACTAACTTACCCATGACTGTTACCCCTCATTTAGTATTAGCCACCGACTAACATTTTTCCAATCAGCTCTATTCTGGGTTCTCCTTTCCAGTTGCTTCTAAGTACCATTCATTCTTTTGATGTCTGGTTCCAATTTTCGATGCAATATACTCTTTGAATTGGTTCCTTTTATTCCTTCAGGATTTCAAATTAGAGCTTGTACTTGATCACATTGTATTTCAAGTTCAATAATGTTCAGTCAGCTATGGTTATTGTACATTTAAAAATATATCATTCATCACTTTTAGAATTATTTTTAACCTTAAACATTATTATCAGAAGGGGTTTTTGTGGATATTATAGTATTTCATTAGTCAGTTAAAGTTAGACCATCATGAAAAACCTGGAAACACTGGACGGTTGTTTCATCCTTACTGTGGGACCCTTCATTATGTCAACCTCGGTAAACAATCAATTTTTAATTCAATA